TGAGTTTGAGCAGTCTTGCACTCGGTCTTGCACGAGGGGTCCGCAACAAAGAAAAATCTGGTACACTTTCCAAAAAATCAAAAAAATCCAGTAAAAGAATCCAATAATCCAATAAAAATCCAATAATCCACAGAAATCCACCAGTAATCCAGAAAATCCTTGCAATAATCCAAAAATCCAATCAGTAATCCAAAAAAATCCAAGGAAATCCAGTCACAATATTCAAAGATTTACTGTCTGTGATTTATTAACCATTAAAAATAGTTAATTAACTGCTATTATTAAATGAGTGGTAATTTGTAATAGTTAATTGACCATTATTAATAGTTAACTAACCATTATCAATAGTTAATTAAGATAACTAATGGTCAGTTAACTTTAATAACATGGCGGATACTATTTATTAATCTCCTAGGGGCTTACCTCTGGTTGTAGTGATGGGCGATTCCAGAAATTTGCATTCGATTCCGATTCTGAATACTTTTGAGACTGGAATCGATGGAATCGAATACCGATTCCGAGTATTACATCTGCGCATGCGCAAAGCCACGTGGTATCAATTACAGCAATAAAAATGCAATAATGGTGAATAATTGATGTATTAACTACTGATTAATTAACTATTATTAATATTAAAGGGTGTGGCTGGGTGTGGTTTGATTTGGAATCGTTTTAAACGATTCCTACTTCTCTTTCGATACGAGTACGATTCCATTCGGAATCGAAGAATCGAATACTCCGGACTCGGAATCGCCCATCACTATCTGGTTGTAGCAGAATCTAATGAGGGTTCCGTTTCTCTTCTGTCCACTGTCCGAGGAGGCACACTACATATTGTAGTGTGCCTTAATTGGGTTCAGCCACCATAAATCCTGACAATTGGCCGTTAGAGGGGAGAGGAGGTAAAGCCAAGCTTTGACATGATTTGCCTTGGCAAGGCATCAGATAGGGCCTAAGCCATCAAACAACAAGGCCACAAATGGTGGGACCTGGAGATACCCTTTGTCTAGCTAGTCGAGCAAGGGTACACCATTGAATGTTGATGTGGTTACTATCTTAGTAAAGCAAGGCTATTCAATGTTATGCAATTACATTAAATCTCTCCTCCCCTCTTTAGGCATAAATTGTCAAGGAGGTGGCATTCCCCAAGGTGTTTCCAAAGGAGTTAATTAAAGAGGGATATGGATTGGACATCTGAGCCGTTGGGACAGTCATTCATATCTCTGTTTTTTTTAACATATTGTGAGCAACCAAAGTGCTTGTGAATAATCTTCTGACTATATTAATAAATAATATACATGACATTGCTATTTGC